CATAGAAAACAAAGAAGAAAATTCAATACTCTAAATTATATGTAACTTAAAATGAGCAGTGAGATAGGAGCCAACTAGGGCACCAAAACTTCAACTTACTGTCATCCCTGCCACACGGGGGAGAGGTACGGGCAAAGTGCGGCTTTTTAAAGCCATACCAAAAGAAACACGCGGCAGCGGGATCACATTGATCCCCTGAGCCACGGCGCATTTCCTCCCCGGCATGATCAGATGCCGGGGGAAGCCACGGTGGGGAAAGGGACGCTGCCAAACTGCGCATGTGTGAGCATGCACAGTTCAGCCAGGACCCTGGGATGCACCGGCAGAAGGACGCACCGGCGATCCCATGGCCGGGCTTGATGCAGCTGTGCTGGAAGGTCCACCTCGGTAGGTGGTGTATTTTTGCTGTGGCTTTTCGGGTGGAAGGGCCGGATCGGGGACAGGTGCGCAATGCTTCCCAGATGTTGCGGTGGGATCGCACCTGTTTGCTGCGCCCCCGATCCGTCCCTCTCCCGACCCCAAACCTTTTGTGTGACCGGGGCCTCAAACTCTGTAATTTGATTCTCATAGTGCACCATAGTCCACATCTTTCTCATCTTGGGAAGAAGCAAGCCAGGTATTGCCATCCAGTCCTCCTGAGTTTCTCTCTGAGTGTTTCCTTAAGATTGAGTGGCAGCTGTGTATGTGTGCAGTGAGGAAATTTACCCCCCCTCCCACTCAGCTGCCATTTAATTTTAAGGAAACATTCAGAGATCTCATCATTACCCCTGCTGAAGTTGTTCCATGAAGTTACCATTAGTTGATGTAGGGGTACTGTACCCTTCTCAGGTTTAAGCAGGCCTTGCCTGATGAAGATATGTTAACTTGGCAGTAATAACAATATTAATATTAAGCTGTACTTTGCATGTAGTCATTTTCATACTCTTATAGTAAATCTGAAAAGCAATAAATATGCATTAAAATCTACCTTATTTTCTGCTTCCTTCTTTTTTATAGTCAGTTGGCCATAGGAGGCTTGCAATTTAACAAAACTGGCGTTATTAACTGGGGAGAAGGGGAAATCCAAACAAATAATAATTGTAAACTGCAAGCTTCCTAGAGAAAAGTACTATAATTAGCAACATGGTTCAGAAATATATGCAGGTATTTATCTGAATATCTAATGGATATCTTCTGCAGACATTTGAACAGTTTCGTAGATTTATCAAAATGGAACATTTAAAACAAATATGGCTCATAAATACATAACCAACATATAAACTAATATATTAAGAATAAAAATATTGCACCAGAACTTGGATAACAGTAGAACTTGATGCCAACATGATTATGTTTACCAGATATCAGTCTTTGACCTTAACTATATGTTATGCTTTTTTGTGTCTGCCCCATTTTCCCAATCTAAAATGGCCTGAGAAAGATGCTGTTTTCCCCACTGGGGCTGCAGTCAGACGTGCCTTTAGATCTGACACAGCTGTGAATGCCTGACGGATCTAAACGGAACGATCAGACAGCAACATCTGGGAAAGGTCCCACAGTCATAAGCAACCTGTGCTGCTCAGCCACAGAAGCAGAGTTAAAAGACACTGGGGAAAGTCCGATTGGCCACAGACGGACTTTCTGCTGAGTGTGCAAGCACTCTCAAGCCATCGGGAAGGGCTACCCAATCCATCCTGACTTGGCACCACTTCTTTTGCTTGCTTAGTGGTATGCACATAACCGCATAAATGATCCATAGTCATGGACTGCCTTGGGGGTTCAATTCCTCGTTTATGTACATGAGAGAAAAAAAGGCAAACCCCTCCCAAAACAAAAACAACCCACTCACCCAAACAAGTTGTCTGATCAGGCAGTGACAGGCTGAGCCCACAGTACCAAGGGGTGTAGGATTGCGGGACTCCATTTCAATTTCCACTGGAGGAAATAGGAACGCTCCCCCTCTGTGCCAAATGGCACGTCTGACTGCAGCCTGGGGAAACTTAGGTGTAGCCATCAGTATACATACTTCAGTTTCCTAGTGGGGAAAATAGATTTTCAGGGCAGCAAAATGGCACAGGCAGGAAGGTTTAAGTCTTTCCCCGCACGCCACAGTCAAAATCCAAACTGGACCCTCAGGAAGTCCCAGATTACATCTGTCTGCCAGGACAGGGATAGACCCATAAACAATGTAATGTATAATTCATTTTCTCAAGTTACCCCATATTAAGTTACCCTCTTTGTAAATGGAACTATAAATATGTGACAGCCAGTCCACATGACTGCCTCCTATATGCAGGCAGTCATTGCTTTCACTAACTTCTTGCTGTCAGTGGTGTGTGCAAAGATGGTCATTTGGTGGTTGGTGCCTTTGCATACCACTCTGAGAGTCAAAGTGGATAGTACCTTTTTAAAGAGAAAGTCCAATCCAGGTTCCTCAGACTCCATTCTCTCCCTGCAGCCATACAGCAGCTATGACATGGGGGAAGGAGGAACTCCTGCCTTCCTCTCCATGTAGTTTTCCCAACCCCAAAAGGTTCCAGGGTAGTTATTGTTGGAAATATATGTGTTTCAAGGTCTAAAATTCAGTCATTATAGGGTTAATGTGTGTTTACCTTGTGTGCTGTTGTTTAGACCGACCTAGAAGGGAACCTGGCACAGAGCCAATGGGAAGAAAGCCTGGGAAAACTGAAGTCTATTTACTAACAATCATTGGTTAATGCAATCAAGTGATTTCCTTCTAGGGGTCAAGAAGAAGAAGAAGAATCTCCATTGTTGTAGACCATGTGGTAAAAGTGTAAAGATGTAGTCTTATGTGTCTTTGTTGTTTTGTAGATTTCCTGTGAACCCTTCCCTTAGAAATAAAGATTTTTGCATAGAAGAAAATGCCTGCTCTCCAGTGAAGCAAAGATCCATTGCAATATCTGAATATTTAACTATTTTGCCAATTTTCCCAACAGTTATTTCCCCCTTTTTGGCTACCCCAGGTGCAGTATTCTGTGCACATGGAATAGCTAAGAAGGGAGAAATAACTTCCCCAGAAGCAGTTTTGTTTGGGAAAATATGTGGACGGGAAAGCAAGATTTCCGTTTTAAAAACCAGATTGTTCTTGCAGCTGCTGTGTGGCTGCAGGGATAGATAGTCCAGTCTGGGGACCACAGACGTGACTCTAACATCTGGTTTGGCTTTGAATTAGGTTTTCAAGCACTTCCAGTATTGTACAAAAAATCAGTGTGCATGAAGCCAGTAGCTCAAAGTTAACATTACCAGCAGGTGCCATTAAAGAACCCATCTCCGGGAACCATTTATTCATTTACATTCTTTACAGTGTGTTCCAAATATCTATTTCCTGCAAGGGCTTGGGTGTACCAGTGGAATTTATGCCATTTTTCCTTTGAAAGTGAAAATTCCCATGCTGCTACCTATACTATTTTTTAATCTGCCCTCATTTTCAAAATGAAAGCCAGTTTAGTGTAGTGGTTAGGACCGCATACTTTAATCTGGAAGAACCAGAGTTTGATTCCCCACTCCTCCACATGTGACTTTGGGTCAATCATAAGTTCTTTCAGTGCTGTTCTCTCAAGGGCAGTCCTCAGAGGAGCTCTCCCACCTACCTCACAGGGTGTCTGTTGTGGGGAGGGGAAGGGAAAGGGATTATAAACCCCTGAGACTCCTTTGGGGAGTGAAGGGCGAGGTATAAATCCAATCTCCTCCTCCTTCTCCTCCTTCTAAAAGAGGTTATCTGTTTCATAGATGGAAGGAGTACCATTTAAGAAAACAAGTGCCAGAGCACCCTTTTTAAAAAATCTAGGCTCTGGTATTTCAGAACATTTGTGATATTTATGTAGTATATCAGAAGGAAAATAAAATATTCTTTTAAGTGAACATTAGTCACTGATCAGAATCCTTTTCACATTGACAGAATTGTGGCTTATGCACAGAATTTTGGTCTGAAAGGGAATTTATTTTTGTCTTTTTTCCTTACAAGTAGAATTTACTATCTTTTATCATGCTATGTATTGGGAGACAATTTTGCATGCTGTGCTTTTGACTTGGCTATATTGTTCTGCATGGCTGTCTGGAGAATTTTACTTCCTTTCCTTTTTTCACTTTGAAAAAGCAACAACAAATGAGATGGTTTCAGATTTAATTAAACCTTAGAATTTAATTGCATGAGTGTAAGTATTTCTTTCTCTTCTTGCTGAAATGTGTGTTTCCTTAGTAAATAGCAGTGAAAAATGAATGTGGCTAGCTATATGCAGATATATAGATGGTCTCTACTTGCTTTGTGGTGGAACCAGCCTCTAAAGCAGAAACTTGAACCAAGCACGTTGGTTTCATACTGAAGTTGTCTTGGCGTTATGGATCAGAACGCAGGACTTAAATTATAAATGGAGTTTGTGGCGAAAGGCCAAGGCCTTAGACCCTACCCCCAAAGTAGGGGCATGGAGAGACAGGGAGAGTTGTGAGATAGCAGTTAATTTTAGTACCAGTGTAACATGTTGGAAAATGTGTATACTTTTTCAGGCATTAGAACCAAAGTTAATTTAAAATGTGTGATACCTGAAATAGCAAATTAGGGTAACAAGATTTCAAATTAATGTTGGGGTGTGCAAAACTTAATTTCTTTGTATTTCTGTATGTATTATTCTGTGTCTGTGTGTTCATAACAAATACAAACAATACTTTTTATATTTCAAATTTTGGATGTTTACATTTTTTGTTATATAATTCAGCCTTCCCATATGAATTCAGGTAAATTAAAAGCAGCATCTGGTGACAAGTAGAGTTGCCAGGCCTCTACATTTATTGAATAGGTACGGCTGTGCACTGTTTATTCTTCCTTTGGCATGAGTGTGAAACTGCTAGACAAACAAATGTAGGAATCTTCACTAGTTTTGCATAACAAGCCAAGAGGTCTGGGTGCTTTTTTAAAGTATAACAGTTGCCAAGCTATTCATTAATCCTTAATCCTCCACTTAAGGTAGAAAGACTAAAAGCTTTCCCTCTGCTTCCTGTGACAGCCTGGAACCTTTGGCGTACAGTCATCCAGAGGCTGTGTTCCATGCAACTGTAATTCATTTGGATCTAAATCCTTTGACTGTGATGAAACTGGACAGTGCCATTGCCAACCAGGTGTTGCCGGAAAGAAGTGTGATCGCTGTGCTCATGGATTTTATGGCTTTGATGAAGGAGGATGCACCCGTATGTATATCATCATGTTTTACTTAGTTGCTGAAGAGTTCCCCTTTTAGTCTTATTCCTTGTGGTCTTTTTTTCAGGGTTCACAGTGTATTTCAGATAAGAACATCTCATGCTAGAGAGACCTGGGGCATTATGTTTTTATGACATTTGAATTTAGGAGAAATTCATTATGCTCAGAGTAGATTTTATTTTATTTTAATTACAGTCAGAGTAGTTTGTACTTTATTTACATTAAAAAAAAATCTCCTCTTCAAATTTCTACAGCTCTGGGGAAAGGTCTGTATCAAACAGACATTAATCACTGCTAATATCGAGAGTTGTTAACTTCTAAAGACCAACCCACTCCCCCAAGATGTGCTTTTCATTTCTTTCTAAAATCCTGGATTTATAAACAGACCTCTTTTGATGGACTGCTTTAGTCTAGGGCTCTTCACAGAAGTTCTCTTCCTCTTTCAGTGTAGGTCTTCTCAGCAAAGCCCATCCAGACGCTCTTAACAGAGGATGATGAGGGGATGTCAAATGCAGAGAAACATTCACTGAAATGTGCTAATCCCAAGCAATGAAAGCCACCAGCTGTGGCCTCGTAATTGTAGTGTAGGTTACACATCAAAAAGAAATCTTAATACAATTGGAAGGCTAAACTAGTCTCAGGAAACATTTGAATGGAGGCATATCATCACACAGAGAAACTGATGTTTTACTGGTGGAACTAGGGTTGGCAGCTCTGGGTTGGGAAATACTCTGAGTTTTTGGGAGTGGAGCCCGAGGAGGGTGGGGTTTGGGGTGGGAAGGGACTTCAGTGGTGTACGATGCCACAGAGGCTACCTTTTAAAGCAGCTGTTTCCCCTAGGTGAACTGATCTCTGATGCCTGGGGATCAATTGTATTAGCAGGAGATCACCACTCACCAACTGGAGGTTGGTGACCCTGGGTGGAACCTAAGGTCCCTGTAATATATAACGTGTAGCCAGAGACATGATCACATAGGGCTGCTTGTAGGTAGGTAGGAAATAGGAAATTCTCTGCTAATTTGTGAAAATGTTAAAATACTTTACCATACCTCAATTCTTTGAACTACTTTCTAGCTGTTATATCATTTAAATTATTATTGAGTGTCTAAGCTCTTTCAGTACTTACTAAACACATCACCAACAATAAAGCAGACCAATTGGTCATTTCTAGTAAGGTACGAATTTTATTGTCAGGGTTCTTTTGCCTTTAACAGCTGTGTGGCAGCCGGGCATTTCCTAGCATAGAGGTGCAGTGATAGGAAAAGCTTCATCTTCTGTGTTAAAGCCACAGGCACTGTGATTGGGGGGGGGGGGGGATGGCAGACCTCTGTTCCATATGGTCTTGGCTGTAGACCAAATTGTCAAAAAAGATAAGACACACATGGTCTTCTGCTACTGCCTGTTTTGCCTAGGTAGTAGATTCAGGTAGGATGCTTCATTGATCCCTACCCTACCACCTAACTGTACTTCCTCTTCCAGTGACATTACTTCGAATCACATACTGCAACTCTGATTTTGTAGTATTCATATTACTTAAGCTTATGGTAAAGGACAAGTTCCTTTCTGCAATTTCCCCAACACTGACCCTCTTTTTCAAGATTCCAAAAAGGCAATTCCCTTCCAGATTCCAAATGTGTCTCTCTTGTATTACAAATTCAGGTAATAAAACTTAATAGTCACTCTAAATGTATCTATTAAAAAGGCTAAAACACTTATTTATAACCTCTCTCCAAACTGTATCACAAAGTCATTTTTGTCACGGGCCCTCTTGGCCAGTGGTTCCCAACATGTACAGAAGTCCAAATTTACTTGGTATGGTGACCCATCCAGGGCTGGCCCAAAGTTTTTTTGTGCCCTAGGCAAACTATGACCTTGGCGCTCATCTAGTTCAGCATCCTATTTTCTACAGGGCTAACCAGGTGGTTTTGAGAAATCAACAAACATCACACAAAAGGCACAGCTGCCCCTACTATGAACTGCAAGCAAGTGGCATTGCTACACACAGAGCCTTTGCCTGTGAGGTTACATTCCAGCCTTTGACTACCCTCTCCATTCCTCCCTTAAATCCCTTCTAAGATTCTAAGAAAAAAAATGACACTTTTACTTACTCAACATGCAGTAAAGAAAAAATACCAACTAATGTATAACATGGAAGATACTGTTTCCAGGGTCAGGTCTTGGTTTCCAAAATACAAAATAGAGCAAAGGAAAGGGCAGCCATTATGGATGGATGGCCCGCAACTCATTTCCAGAGGCTTTGTGACCCACTTTGGGATACTGACCCACAGGTTGGGACATGCTGCTCTTGGCAGCTGTGAGCCTGAAGTGTGCGGAAGAACCTTTCCATTTCAGAAAAAAGCCCTTCCAAAATTATGAGCCGTGAGCTCTTCCTCTGTGAGCGCAAGTGTTGTTGCACTTTTAAGTTATGTCCATGGTTTTGACTTCCAAGAATGAGAACATCCATGAGAACATTGTTTCCTGTATAATTAGGAAACATATTTCTCTGTGTAGAAGACTAGTCAGTGGATGGAACAACTTCTTTAGGGAAATTGCCAACTGCCCAGAAGTTGCTGAATCAGCTAGATTTCCTGAGGAAGGAAAAGGATAACATAAATGAATTCATTTGAGGAGTGATTATTCTTTTCTCTGTTGGAAGCATTCAAATGGTGCAATTATAATGGTCATTTTATATTTCTAATAGCATATGATTGATGGAAACACTTTCCATTTAAGTCTTAAGCTTTTTTCACTGAGGTAATTGGCATGACTCAAAAACATAAAGCTGGAACTCATGTTTACCCTGCTTTTTTTTTTTACAATCCAATTTTACACTTCCTAAAAATGAAGTTCAAGGTGATGAAATCTCCTTGCTCTGCGTATAGTCCCCTCTTTATATGTACATGTCTTTGGAGTGCTTGCCCTGCCTCTGTTAGGAGCATACAAAGCTGCCATGTACTTAGTTTGACTACTGCCCCACCCATCTTGCTCCAGTGCTGTCTGCTGTAACCGGCAGGAGCTCTTGAAAGTCTCAGGCCCAATCTGCATCTAGTATTTGCTCCATTGTTGTACCAAACCCACACTGGAACAGAAAAAGATGCGGCTCAAAACCACATTCAAAGGACGAATCCACATGTGTGTTTCTTGCCAGTTTCCTGACATTTTCGCTCCTGTCCCCCAACAAACTGTCTTCATTTGCATCTGGTTTCATGCTGGCAGTGTGCCAGTATAAAAATCAGTGTTTGCATATGTTTCCCGCCCTCTGTGACTCCATTGTCATAGCTGCTCCGCACTGGTTTAAATGAATGCTGTTCTTTGCTGCTCTAACCCCTCCTTTCTGGTTTCGTTGTGCTGTCAACCTAATGCAGACATTTTTGAGCCATTGCTCCGCTAATTCTTAAATAATTCCAACTGGTGGCGCACAATAAACTAGGTGGTAACTCGTGGTTCGATTCCAACAGTACTCTTTTCTCTTTTTACTAGCTAGCCCCCAAATTAATTGTTAAAATTTTTATCTTGTTTTGAAGCTTTTATTTCTTGATCCCTTTTACAGACCGACTGAACATTTTTAAGTTCACTACTGGTGCAGTAAGAGCTTACATTTATCTCAAAATGTTTAAATTCAGAAATGGCATTTCTAATTTTATTCCCGCTTGGCTCTATTTCCTCATAGCTATGTACCAGCCCTCAAATCTTATCTTTCAAAACTTATCTCTCCACTTTCAAACCATTTATTTTCTTGACCCCCCCCTGCTTTATGGGACATTTTTAAGTTCACCGGGGGGGGGGGGGGGTCCTTCGAGCTGT